TTATTATATGATGAGATATTTTTATTTACGTATTACAATTTCCTTTATAAGTTGGAATAGTTTTCAATCGGTTAAATCTACAAGATAATGTGTTGGAATTATTTATTTCACGAGATAACGTTCTCCCAAGATTAATTGCTGAAGTAGGGTGAATTGCACAGTGTTGGCCGTAGGTCGCCATGCCTTCCGGGCGACCTACGACGTGGTAGCTTCCGACGAGGGAATGATCGTGTGCATGGGACATGCACAACCCAACCCATAGGTCGCCATGCACTCCCAGCGACCTCCTAGGTCTCCATGCACTCCGGGCGACCAAGGAGGTCGCCATACCCGGCGACCAAGCTTTTAACCCTCTGCACGCCCTGCATGTCATAGCTGGGAGATTCCTGCCCGACGACCAAGCTCTAACCCTCTGCTCCCTCATGCATGCGTTGCATCCATAGAGCGGGACGTGCCGAAATATCACATGGTCATGCAAGGAGAGAAGGTCGTCGGGCGTGCATGGCGACCTCCTTGGTCGCCCGGAGTGCATGGCGACCTAGGAGGTCGCTGGGAGTGCTTGGCGACCTATGGGTTGGGTTGTGCATGGGACGTCTGAAGCTGCCACGTCGTAGGTCGCCATACAATTCGTTCTACTTCAACAATTAATCTTAAGAGAACGTTATCACGTGAAATAAATAATTCCAACACATTATCTCGTAGATTTAGCCATTTTCAATCATGTAATCACTTAACTCTGCACACGAGTTAAAATATTTATTTTTTAAAATGAAAAAGCATCTCATGGATTGTTTGAAAAAGAAGAAGGTTAATTACTGCTTAATTAAGGAGTATATAATAGTAATAAAATCGTCATCATATTTAATAATAAATTAAATAAAAATAATGGAAATGAAAATGGTCCCCCCTCCCCCGGTCTCTCTCTAACACTTAAACCTTCACCATTTTCGTTGTAAACACCCAAGATATCTTGACCTGAAAACCACTTTCACCTTCTGCTTCCCTTGAATTTCTCTCTCTTTGTTACTACAGCTCAAAGGTATCCCCTTTCTCTCTCTACACATTCAAAGAACTGCATAATCGCAGGTTTATATTTGTAAAAATTCAATCTTTTCAATCGCCCCCTTGCTTCTTTTTCCTGTCAGGAAACAATAATCATCTTGCCTATCTTTAGAATAAGCTTGGAGAAAAAGATAGAAGCAAAGGGCGTATACACATGGCGTTTCATCATAACCATCTTTCTGATCACCGAGACCTTCCTCTCCATCACTTTTCCGACCAACAGCAGCAACAACAGGCGAGTCAACTGCCGGAAACTAGCGGTCCCAATTGGTTAAAAACCGCCCTCCTCCGTTCCCAGCAGCTTCAGCCTCACTCTCAGTTTTCCTCCGACCCTAACTTTCTTAACCTTCATACTACTACTACTACAGCTGCTGCTTCTGACCCCACAACGGCTTCTCAAGCTCCTGACAAGTGGCTCTCCCGTACATCCTCTTCGCTTCTCCATCGCAACCAAAGTGACGTCATGTACGATGCTGGTGCCGACGTGGAAGCATCGAGAGGAGGCGGAGGGGAATTGATGATCTCAATGGAATCGGGTGATTTCAAGAACGACATCAACGATATCATAAACGACGAGAGCGAAGGTGTTGTATCGGAGACGGAGAGGAGAGGGGGCGGTGGAGACGGGGCAATGAATTGGCAGAATGCAAGGTACAAGGAGGAGATACTAGCTCACCCTTTGTGCGAGCAACTGTTGTCTGCACATGTGACGTGCCTAAGGATCGGCTCCCGAGGATCGACGCTCAGCTGGCTCAGTCGCAGCTTGTGGTGGCGAAGTACTCCACCCTCGGTGATGGTGCCCACGGCTTGGTCACCGATGACAAAGAGCTCGATCAGTTCTTGGTATGCTGCTACCACTACTACTACTACTACTACAAATGAGACTGGTTTTAATTGGTAACCTTTTCTTTTATTTGAATGTTGATTAGTTCAATGGAGTAGGATGATAGTTGATTACTTGATTGTTAGGAATAAAAAAGTTGGAATTTTTATGTTTACATTTCAATGGTAGCCAATTCTCACGTTTTAGACATTGATATCTCTTTCATGGCAATGCAGACACATTATGTTCTATTCTATGTTCTTTCAAAGAACAATTGCAGCAACATGCTCGAGTTCATGCAATGGAAGCAGTTATGGCTTGCTGGGAAATTGAGCAGTCCTTACAAAGCTTAACAGGTAAGTGATCTGCATTGATTTTCTCTAATATTGGAGGAGATTCAGGATGTAATCTCCGTTGGTGGGGACACATAAACAGGTGTTTCTCCGGGGGAAGGAACAGGTGCAACAATGTCGACATAAGAGAAGATTGTCGACATAAGAGAGGAAATTTTGCGAAAAGGAAGGGCCGGAAAACTGCCTGGCGACACGACACCGGTGTTAAAAGCATGGTGGCAGACACATTCAAAGTGGCCATACCCTACAGTAAGTAGTTCAAGGCTCAAGCTCACTATATGAGGTGATGAATTTGGGGTTTGGTGATCAGCTTTGTTGAAATGTTCAGGACGAAGATAAGGCGAGATTGGTTCAAGAAACTGGTTTACAGTTGAAACAGATAAACAATTGGTTCATCAATCAGAGGAAAAGGAACTGGAATACCAATCCCTCCACTTCCACCGTCTCCAAAACCAAACGGAAAAGGTGCGATGACTGGAATTTACTTAGACGACACTGAAATATGCATCTTCTTGTGCTAACTTTAGTTTCCAACCAAGTTATGCAGGTGAAAATAAGGAATGATTTTGGTTCAACAGGAGAAAAAGGGCTAAGCACAGTGTAGGAAGGGAATTTAATTCTGTTGCTTGGTTCTACCTTGCAGTGGTTCCATACCTTCCAACCAATGCAAATATTTATAGGGTAAATTACGCGTTTAGTACTTAATTTATCTGTTTTTGTATATTTTAATACTTAAACATCCAAAAAAAAATTCAAAACAAAAACTAACTTTTAGGTATAATTTTTTAAAAAATTAAAAGTTTAAATATTTAAACAAATAAAAACTTATACAACCTATATTATATGTTGCAAAATTCGAGTCCTTTTACGGATTTTGTATGGATGACGGCAATAATGGTAAATACTTGTTTTACTCGCATCTGTTTTAACTTTTAAAATTATTATTTTATTTCTTTACATTCTTTTCGTATTTTTATGATATATGGTAAATAAAGATATGCACAGATCCTTTATACTTTCACCGGTCTATAGAGGATTTTTTATCCTATAGTGGCGTTTAAAAGCGCCGCTAAAAATATTATCGACGTAAAAAAAAGGTCACAAAAAACTCTGCTAATACAAATGTCGTTACTGTTAGTGGCATTTTCTACTAATAAATGCTATTAAAAGTCAGATTATATAGAGGCGTTTGTATACTAAAATGTCGCTAAAGGTCAGGTTATATAGCGACATTTTAGTATACAAACGCCGCAACTGGTTCGCCATATAGCAACATTTTTTGGCACAAACGCCGCAATAAGTTTGATATTTATAAGCGTTTTTCTGCAACCGGTTCACTATTTAGCGGCATTTTTAGTCACAAACACCGCAATAGGTTTGTAATTTAACGATTTTTCCCTTAAAACGCCACCAAATACGCACTCTGTTAGTGGCATTTTGCTCCTAAAACACCGCTAATCGAAATTGATTTTCAACATATCTTCTTCCTGTTTTGTATTACCCAAATTTAACCTGTATCAATATCCAATAACCATCTTAAATTTAATTACGATTCGAATTAAATAATAATACATAAAAACATAAATAAATCAAAGTTTACAAACATTCAAGTTAAATATAATGTAGTTCAACATTTTTCAATAATAAAAACAAAGCATTAACCAAAGAAAACACCTAGGATGATGAATTCTTCGTTTGATTTTGTTGCATCATCTGCTTCATAGCTTCAATTTGATTTTGAAGTTCTTCATATTTTTTCTAAAATGTTGCTTCTCTCTCTGTTTCTCTAGCTGCCCTCGTTGTTCTCTCTGCTTATCTGCTCCATAGGAGAGCCATCTTTTTTGGTATGTGTCATTTCGAAGATCTTTATTCGTCCAACTCTATTGTCGGACATGATTTCCTACAATGTAGAATATAAATTGATAGTTACAAAAAAGTAATAAATAATAGAAAACAATGTTAATTACTATATGCTACCAACTTAAAATGACTATATGAATAATCATAATTAAAAAAAGAATACATGTTCATGAGCAACACGAGCAAAGCTCTTCGATCCAGTAGTGTGAGTAAACTTTTGTTGTTAATATATAATCATACATTATTTCATATTCTCAACACAAGAAGCAAAATGCTAGTATCTACTAATATAGTCAGCTTGATAACATATTTTCATGTTTGAAAGTCATCAGAAAATAGAAAATTACTAAACTGAAGATAAGCATAGATAAAGTATCAAATGGGAGCAAAAGGATTATTTTGACCAAAATGTTTGCAAATGAAGAATTGTTATTATAAGAAGCAAAACTTCTATAAATTAAGCATTTTAGGTATACCCCAAGTCACAAAGTGCTAAAGCAACTGCACAGAAGTTGGGGATTCCACTCCTCGTTACCTGATAAAATGAATGTCAAAATTGCAATGTTAATACTAATATATGACAGAATAGACTGCATCAAAATTTGATTTTAAACTTAAAAACTCAAGAAAGGTCTAGTTACATCATATGTATCTACAAGAGCAAGAAAGTTGCGGCGATGAATTTTGAATGCTCCACTGATGTTCTAAAGAGGACACAAATAATAATAATTCTCTAATGAAACAACATTGCATGGAAAACCAGTGAAATCAACTGCATAAAAACAATATGAATATGAAAGATCAAACGGTGTTGAACTCTAAAGCCAAAACAATAGCAGCTAAAAGGCCAAACATAGTGCAACAAACAGTGGTCCAAACATAGTCGATCAAAGTCACATTACTTGTTTGTGACGGTGCCAACAAACACGCGGATGTACATATTCAACATCGCCTAATATCTGAACAGCAATAACTATCTTCACTGTAATCTGTGGCTTATCCTCCTCATCTGGACCTTCAGATATCTTCCAAACAAATACCCTTCCCTCTAGACTCACACTACAGAAAAACGTATTAACATGAAGCAAAAAGCGAAATAAAAAAAAGGGTGAAATTACCAATTAAAGAAAGATAAATACCTAGCCAAAAGATGAACATCCTCAGCAAAGAAAGTCATGTATGTGATCCTCTGAGATAAAAGAAAAATATCATGTGGACAAATAAATAATCATAACCATCCAAAAGCAGTACTTATGCATCCAAAGCTTGCCATTCCAGAACTCAAAGTGCACATTTATTCTATGAACTATTCTATTACCACGAAGCTTTGAACTATTCTATTACAACATTCATTTCAATCCAATATAGAACTAAAAACTATAAAAAATGAAGAATTAATAGAGTTAAAGAGATAAACATGCATGTGCCCACGAAACAAAGACCTCAATGCAATGTTTAAATTAAGACTCCTAATACTGCCTCCTTTCAAACCATAACAAATATAAGACTTATTAACAGCAATCTGCCTTCTCAACACCAGCTGAGGATCATACCCATACTTCGTAATCGGAGTGACCTCAAGCTGAGGCTGAACCTCGTCGGACAGCCTCATATCGACATCGTAGGCCACATGAGCGTCCGATAACCGCCTTCCCCTAGGCAATTTACAACTCTGCACCCTCAAAGGCCCCACATTGGGACTCTCAGACCCCAAAATCCGAGCGTGAAGAGGTGGCTATAGCTTGGGGGGCTGCTTCTGAGGTGGGAAACCAAGGTTTTGAGGGGACGAGTTGATCAGGGCGAGAATTTGCTTGCTGGCATTGTAAGGGCTGAGAGGAGGGGAAGGGAAAGAAAGAGATTTTGCATCTTGGTAATTCGAACGCGTTGGGGACGAATGGGGCATGCAGAATTGATGATACTGTGGGTGAAAGAAAGGATGACAAGGTGTGGGATACGATGATGGGGAAGGATTTTGCGGTTGAGGGTTTGAATTCGATGGGTTCGAAACTATGGGTTTGAATAAGCTCTGCACATCAAATTGGATGGCTTGATTTGGGTTCCCTGTTGAAGCCATCACACATGGAAGATAAAAAAAACAGAATAAATCAAAGGATCTTTGGAGAGGTTATATGAATTTTTTACAAGAAAATAAGATCTGGGTATTTGTTTCCTGTGGCAGAAATGAAAGATCAAAGAATTTCTTTTGAGATAAACAGGAGCCGAAAACTTGGAGGGAAAAAATTAAAAAATGAAAAAGGGTTAAAAAGGGCGCGAGACTTAGAAACCGCAAACTTGCAAATGCCACTAAAATACGAGTCTATAACGACATTTGTATAAAAACGACACTAAAGTATGACTCTATACAAACGTCACTAAAGTATGAGTTTATAGCGACGTTTGTTCAAAAAACGCCACTATAAACCCATTTTGCTGTGGTGCTGGGATCGTGATGAGTGTGGCGGTGAAGGTCACGACGGTGTCGAACAACTCCAATGAACAACATATTTGTTGGGTCTTTGGAAACGGTGAGGAGCAGAAAATGTAAGGGAAAATAAAAGATGAGATCGAGCTGAAGGGTTAGGGAAATAAAACTTCTAAAATTTGTGATGTTTTTAAACCCAAATGCCACAAACATAACAAACTATTGCGGTGTTTGTAAAAAAAGCCGCTAAAGTACTACTCTTTTGCGACGTTTCTTGAAAAACGCCACTATAGATGACCCTATTGCGGCGTTTATATAAAAATGTCGTTAAAGTACTTTTCTATTACGGCGTTTGTTGAAAAAACGCCGTTAAAATTATCATTTTGTGGCGTTTGGAATGTAAACGACACTATATGTTTAAAGTTAATGACATTTACTCTCAAAACGCCGTTGTAGAATAATTTTGTTGTAGTGTTCACATATCATTATTTGTTTCCTAAAATCTAATAAAATATATATTTTGGTGAATTACATCATATGTCATTATATTATGATTAATTTTATAATTAGGTCATCATAATTTAAAAAGTCAAAATCATTATATTTACCAATTATAATGATTATATATTTTTCGTTGAATGTGCAAAATACATTGACCTTTTAGTTATATTTTAATCACTTAATTTTGAATAAATTTATATTTTAATTTCTTAACTATGATAAATTTACATTTAATAACTCAAATGTAAGTAAAAAGGGCGTTTGTTGAAAAAATTCGTTAAAATTATCATTTTGTGGCGTTTGGAATGTAAACGACGCTATATGTTTAAAGTTAATGACATTTACTCTCAAAACGTCGTTGTAGAATAATTTTGTTGTAGTGTTCACATATCATTATTTGTTTCCTAAAATCTAATAAAATATATATTTTGGTGAATTACATCATATGTCATTATATTATGACTAATTTTATAATTAGGTCATCATAATTTAAAAAGTCAAAATCATTATATTTACCAATTATAATGATTATATATTTTTCATTGAATGTGCAAAATACATTGACCTTTTAGTTATATTTTAATCACTTAATTTTGAATAAATTTATATTTTAATTTCTTAACTATGATAAATTTACATTTAATAACTCAAATGTAAGTAAAAAGGGCGATTTTCCCGATATATCACCGGTGATCGGTAATATTATCGATCTAACACCGGTCAGATTATATTTTCCGATCTAACACCCTTAGAAGTAAAGTGCGCCCCCTGTACCGCGCTATACGATGATTTGGCGCCACGTGGGGTATAGCGCGCCCTCTGCACCGCGCTATACGGTGAGCTGGCGCCACGTGGGTATAGCGCGGCCCCCTGCACCACGCTATACCTGTATATCTGACACGTGGGGTATAGCGCGGTGCAGGGGGCGCGCTATACCCCTAACTACCGACCCCTCCTCCCTATAAATACCCCCATTCTCAATCAATTTTATCACACCAAATTCTCTCAAATTCTCTAAATTTCTCTCAAATACTCTCTTTTTAAAGTATATTTTATAATATTTTTACTTTATTTAATATTTTACTAATATAATTCTTTTGTAGATATATAATGGAAGGTAGTCTACTTCGCTCGGATGAAAATCATATATCTCTACACTTTGCTGATACGGTAACATTTTAAATTTTTAATTTAATTTAAATTATTAGTATTATTTAGTTATTTATTTAATGCATGATTATTATATTAATAATTAAATATATCGACACTTTACCGATACGGTAACATTTTAACGTTTTAATTTAATTTAAATTATTATTAATAATTAGTTGATTCATTTAATGCATGATTATTAGATTAAGAATTAATTTTTGTAATTATTTATTTTTAGGAGAAGGACCGTGTATTAGATCCTTTTATTAGGAATCTTAAGTTAGTGATACCCAGTCGTGTCTTGCCGTATTTAGTAGAGGTTGGATTTGGTTACATAGGTAGATATCAGGGTCACTGTAAGATAGAGCCAGACTTGATTTCTGCCTTAGTAGAGCGGTGGAGGCCGGAGACCCACACATTCTATCTTCCGTGCAGAGAGTGCACGATCACGCTTGAGGATGTTTCTATGCACATGGGGCTTCCGGTGGATGGAGATGTGATATCGGGGATAGCTTCCGGTTTTTGGACTAGTTTGTGTCGGGATAGTCTAGGACGTGTCCCGAAAAATTTTATCGGAGGTAGGATACTGTTAAATTGGTTAGATGCCAATTTTCGGGAGTTGAGCGCAGACGCCTCTGAGGAAGAGGTTAAGATGTATGCACGAGCAAGCATACTGCAGCTGATAGGAGGGTTGCTGATGCTGGACAAATCGTATAACCTAGTTCACTGCATGTGGTTGCGACATCTTAGCGACTTTCGTCTCGCCGGATCATTCAGTTGGGGCTCGGCAGTTTTGGCTTTGCTGTACAGGGAGATGTGTGGAGCCACTGACTACATGCGTAATGCTATCGACGGATGTCTCCTGCTGCTACAGTCTTGGGCATGGTATCGATTGCCCTTTTTATGTCCCGTTGTGAAGAACCCATTTGTATTTCCACTACTTCTGAGGTAATTATAAAACGGATTTTGTATATTAATAATTTTATACAGCGTATAACAAATTTTTTTCCTTGAATAAGTGGTCTACTGATAGGAAAAATCATCAGGAGCTACCTGATGATTTAGAAAAGATCAGGGTGCTAATCGATCAGAAGACTGACACACAGGTATGAATTTTAATGTTAAAAAATTGATTTTAGATTATAGTTATATAATTAGATTATTATTTTGATAAAAATTATATATTATTTGTTTTAGTTTGAATGGGTGCCATATTCTACTGATGATGTGAGGGCGGTGATCCCACCTGAGTTGAGGGGTCCATTAGATGTTTGGATGGTGATGGTCCCTCTGATCTGTTATGCGACCGTCGAGTGGCACTCCACTGATCGCGTTCTCCGGCAGTTTGGTTGTTTTCAACCAATTCCGGAAGCACCTCGCAATATGGATGAGTTGCATAGCTTAGATAGACGCGGCAAGACAGATACAGATTGGCTGGTGAGGTATCATGAGTGGGTCGTGTTGTGGGAGGATCGACATCGGCGCCTTCCACGTAGAAAGCCCATTTTTACTGACTTCTTGATGTATGCTGAGGATTATTATGAGTGGTTCAACAGTAACGGGAAACCGTTTCTACTTCCCGAGGATGCACGAGGGCAGACCTTTCCACGACGTCGACAGAGATGTTCACCGACACAGCACCATCGTCCCCCGACTCGTGGATGGAGAGCAGGTGCTTCCGGTTCATTCTTAGCTGCACCAGCAGGACCTTCCTAGCAGCCACTGCAGCCATATATGATGCCGCCATCGCCTTTCCATTACCAGATGCCGTCGCCGCCGCCTTCACCCGGTTTTATGACCCCGTCACCGCCACCGTCACAGATGAGCCCTCCTGGAGGCTATTATGGGTCTATGTTTGTAGACCCGACTTGGGGTTCATATACTGGATATTTGGCGGGTTCAGCCTCATCACCCATGGCGGCAGCACAGACACCGCCTCCTGTACAGTTTTCACACTCAGCGATGTCTGGGTTTTATGACTTTTCCAGTTTTCGAAGGCCGGTGGGATAGTCAGTCATACACCTCTAGGGTCCTTATTCTACGGAGGTGCTTCATCGTCATCAGCTCCTCATGTACCTGCGCAAGATGATGACGACGACGACGGTGATGACAGCGAGGAGTCAGAACCAGTGATACGAAGAAATCCTCCTCGAGACCGACAGCCACTGCCCTGCGGAACACATTCGCGTCGCATGCATCGATAGATTTTGTTTTTTATTATATTTGTATTTACTTTATTTTGTTAAATTGTAATTTTTGTATTATTTCTCATTTAATACTTACTTTTTTTTGTTTTTAATGTAGTTTTTTTATACCATTTATATTTATTGTAATTTGGTTATCATTTACCATTTAATACTTATTGTTATTAGTTTGTTAAAATTTAATGATTGTGTTTGTTTTTTTAATCTTCATCGGTGATTATCAAATGACATTAACTT